GCCAGCTCCCAGATCAGCTGCTCTGATTGGTTGATGCGGCGCGTCCAGCAGCTAAAGGTAAATATTTCCAGCTCCAGCAGCTGCTGCGTTTGCAGTGCGTCAGATGCTAAGAAGCAAACAACGCGCTGCTTCAGCTGCTCAGACGCGCTGCGGGACGTTTTGCTACACATTCAACCATTGACTTTGCATGTAAACTAGCTAGTCCTGCTGCCTCTGCTGCTTTAGGTCTGAACGTAGCATTAGACACAGCAGGAAAACCCTTTTTTGTATAATTTTTAACATGGATGAATAAACACCTCATTTTATTTCTGTGTTAAATTCTGTTAAAAGTAACAGATTATAAATAAAAATGTCTCCGGACCTTAACTGGTTGATGATTTCCTTTTATTCGGTTATCCCTGCCCTAATCACGCAGCAAGAATGTGAGCTGTAGCCGAGCTGCATCTGGCAGGCAAACTGTTGCTCTTCCTCAGATAATTACACGACCAAATAACTCGACCTCATCTGCGACGTGAATTATGGACAGATTAGCAGGAACTTAAAAAAAAAACAAATAGCAGCTCGCTGACCTTTTAACCTCCATTTCAATGAAACGATGATCAGCTAAATGCAGCATTTTGTGTCGGCCTGGAGTTGCTGTAGTACTGCTGTTGTTCTCTTCAGTCGCATTCTTGTTCATTCCAATGATTTTCACATCCTTTACTGACATTTTTTTGACTGTTCTTCAGTTTTTCAACCAGGACTTTTGCTGCAAAGGGTTAATCGGGGAAACTCCGGCTGCGTCTGCTTGCTACCTCTGCAGGCCCCCTTTTGTATCCCCTGCAGCACCTCCCATTCCACTTGACTAAGCGTGCACGCTCTCACAGGCACACTGATGCAGCCGAGGAGCAGGATGTGCACAGGCTGGCTGGCTGATCGATGCACACATACACACATCGCTCCATTATGGCCGCTATGTTCCATCATCTGCTCTTTCCTTCTTATAAAACACCAAAAAAAACTTCATGGCCATATGGAGCTCTGACCCCCCCCCTCATTTATAGTGTGAGCCAACAGGTCTATTGGATTTTAATGATTAGTGGACACCGGCTTCTCCATGACTCATTAGCGGCTGTCGTTTTTCTCTTGTCTATCTAATCCTCTCCTTCTGCCTCCCACCCCTTCGCCGTTTCCCCAACCTCACCAGCCTTTGTGAGAAATGAGGGCGGACATCTGCCGTCCGTCCCTCCCTCTCCTTCATCCCGCTCCAGAAGGACCACCGAAGTGGAGAGCGTCCGGCTACAGATATGGACGGCTTTCTTTGCATCTGTGCTGCCCTGCACGCTTCTGAACTCTAACGTCGTTACTTCAAAGTTTCCTTTGGTGTCTCAGAACATTTTAAGATTCTTCATGCATGTCCCTTTGGTATACTGAGGAACAACCCAAATATTTGAACATTTAATATGTAATTAAATCAAACTCCTGACCTTTTGTTCTTCATGTCTTTTGTAATTTGGATAAGCTAGATATCAGCTTTCTTCTCTCAGTAGTGGATTTCAGCTGACTAGATTCTGTTTATTAAGCTGCTTCTAGAATCTGAAGGGGATTCTCACTATATTACCAACCAACACATGACATATTTCCAACTGCCCCAAACAATGAAATAAAGATTAATTGCAATAAATAAATAAACAAAAACCTCTTTGCTGCACTTCTTATCTTAGATATTCACTCACTTCGTGTCCAGATATACACAGACCCAGCTGCTTCTTGTTTAGCAAGCTCTGCACTGGTGGCAACATGACTCTGCAGTATTTTCCTCAAGTGAAAATGGTCCTGCAACTCTGAATATCCAGAAACCTTCAACACAGAAGCTGAAACTGATCTTGAATTTCTCAAATAATACAGAAAACTGTCCTATGAGCTAAAAGAAGATGTTTTTTCTCCCTGCCTGTGAGGCAATTTCATTGCAAAAAACGGATTCAATTTTCTTGGGAAGCAATTCTTGCTCAAACAAAACATTGGTTTTCCAAAACATCTGCTCGATTTTAATAGCAACTGGATGATCAGGGGGACGATGGCGTCAGCTGCAGGAACCCCAGCTCTATTACCTGTAGTCGAGTCAAGTCGCATTGCTTACAGATGGTAGTCAGAGGTGGTGCTTTAGTACAGCAGCCTTTCTTCTGTCAGTGAGCCCTAGACCCGCTGTGGCTATAATGCCACCATCGGTGTGTGAGTGAAAGACTGATTGTGGTGCTTTAGGGTCTTCTGACTTCACAGGGTGCTAAATAAGTCCTGATTTCACAGATGTGAAGCTCTTTCCCAGCTTTTCAAGTGATGATGGTTACACCAATATGAAGTTAGCCACAAAAACAGATGGTATCTTATCTCTTTGCACAATAATCTAAAAATGTGAAGCATTGGAGGCGATTCTACCACTAAAGTTTACTTCACATACTACACTACATAGTTAGCATGGCTATCACCGCCCCTACATAGTTAGCATGGCTATCACCGCCCCTACATAGTTAGCATGGCTATCACNCTGATCTCTCTCACTGCTGAGCCGGTTCTAAACATGCAATGTGGTTCTCTGTGATGTTTTAAAGTGCTTTTTTAATAAAGTTGGATTGGATGCTATGCTGTTTGCAGGATCTAAAACAAAAACCCATCAAGTTCCATTTGGTGAGTAAATGTGCCAGAAACAAACTGGTAAACGTGTGACAGGAGGTGGGAAACTAACCTGTTGCATTTTTTCCAGGTCCAGACTGGGTCTTCCAGGCTCGCCGCTGTAGCTGTGCCGATACTTTCTATAAGGTGCAGATTGGTCAAAGTGGGTGAGAATGATGGGCCGTGTGACGGGCTGAGCCACCTGGAGCTGAAACCTCATGGGGGGCGGCTTCAGGTTGCGCGGCGGGCTGGAGCTGAACAGGACTGGGCTGGGAGAAGCCGCCAGGCAGGTGGCGCCGGGCTCAGCCAGAGGTCTGGTAGAGCCGGGGGGCGACCGGCAGCCGCAGAGGTCTCGCACTTCTTCATCGCTGGAGGCGCTGCTGTGATGGTCGCTGTGGCGCTGAGGGAAGGCCGACACCCACTTCCTGTTGTCGCCGCAGCTGATCCGCTCCAGCTCTTCCTCTGATGAGTGACGCTCCAGATTGGCATCTAGGAGGAGGCGGAGGCGTCGTAACCTCGCTGGAGAGACGGGACCCTGGTTGTGCTGCTGGCTGGTAGCCAAAGGGGTGAGGGCGCAATTTCTCCGTCTCTCTGAAGATGTTGACATAGAAAAATAAGCACGTAGAATCCCAATTTGATAGAAATATAAAAACAAAAACAAACAAAACATCTACAGAAATTTAATAAAAAATATACTAGATATTATTTGTATCATTATTTGTGAGAATATTCATGTGAACGGCCCATGTACCTCTGTCAATCTGTGCAAGCTCCTGGTTCTCGCCTTCTGAGTCATCGCTCTCTACTCCCTCTCCACTGCCATGATAAGAAATCTGGAAAAATAAGATTCAGGTTGTTATGAATGCCAGAAAAGGAAGGGGGGGGGGGTGACTAAAACTGAGCCTTCCAAAAAATCAGCATAACTGGACCAATCAAATCATCTCATGGTTTCCAGCGTCTCCCATTCTGCTTAGAAAGCTGCTGAAAAAAAGGACAAATAAGCCATCATTTCAACAACACGACGCAAGCAACCAGGAAGTCCCTTCAACTGGGGTCAAAGCTATAAAAAGATGAAATGATGTGTAAAGAGATCACCATGATAGTAATGGCATTATGCGTGCAGCGTCTTTATCAATAAAAATAAACATAACTGAATAATAATATAAATTCTGAAAGCGGCGAGGGCAAAAAACTAATTACAATTGAAGGTGAAAATAAAGCTGTAAAATGACAGGAAAGATCTAGAAGGCAAAGAGATGAATTGCTGGAGGATACTGATCATTGCTTCATACCAAGTTATTCTGACTGAAAATATTCTGGTTGCTTAAGCAACGAGTCATTTAACCCTGAAGTCGCCACTTGGATGTAGAGAGAACATCGAACGTGGAATAACCTTCAAACCAGAGAGAGGGATTTGATGATTGATATTTCCTCTAAGTGTTGGTGGGTTTGGGCACAAGGTTGCCACATCAATCAAAAGATCAACTGACAACAAGCGACTTCAGCAACTATCACAAAGTTTTCTGAGCAAGGTAGCCTTTGCAGCAGGCATGTTGGCCCTTGAGGGCCCCTGTGCTTAGAAACAGCTGATTCCCATTAATATCTGATTAACAGCTTTCTGCTGAATTGTAATGATCAGAATCAGCCGAACTGAAGCTCAGAAACACCGGAAACCTTTAGGACGGCGTCCGACTTTAGACATCAGAAACACCGGAAACCTTTAGGACGGCGTCCGACTTTAGACATGTCTGCTTTAGAGGCAGACCGCCACATCAGGCGGCTGATATCAGCGTTTTCTGTTTATACTGACATCTGCTGATACGTGTTTGCCATTCAGGAGCAATGCCTTGACATCATATGAAACGCATCCAGTTGCTGCTCCATCCGTTTGGGATCCTTTGCTAAAGGCTTTGTTTGATTTGTTAATAAATGTTTGCTTAGATTGAGACTTTTCTAACGATTACCATGTAAAGGACGAAAGAAAAAAGGAAAACTAACTTTAAAAAACTAAAATGAATAACTAATTGGCAGCACATTTCAGACTGACATCAAATAATCTGCAACTTGATCAGTTGTTCCCAAACAGTTCAAAATACTAAACAATATCCTTTCTTGCAACTCTTTTTTAATAGTAACGAATATGTGACAACATACATGGACCCTCAAACATTTAGACTAAACTGATTTAACTCTACAGCAAAAAGGATGCAAAGTTATGTCATCCTGACAATCTGTAGACCTGGTTTCCCATGACCTAAAGAGGCCTGCTCAAAATAAAAAAATCAATCCCTACTTTGCAGCAGCAGAAACAATGCAGACAGGCTGCAGTCTGCAGCGCTAAGAGTTAAGTAATGCGCCTCACGCTCTGTAATTACTACTCAGAGGCTTCGCCCAGCAGCTGCCATCTGTGCATGTGTGTGTATTCGCTTACAGTGTGTAAAACACGCTCGTCTCTCTGAAGCTCCTCAGAAAGTGTGAAAAGGGGGAACAGGAGCCAGAGCTGCAAATCCCAACCAACCCAAGGCTGCATTCAAATGATATTAAAGGAAACTCCACTGTTTGGTTTAGCAGCTTCTTCAGCAAAGCTCTGTCTGTTTCCACAGTCCTGCTGTCTCACAGAAAAGTTTAAACTTCCTTTTTTATGTGGGAAATCTGAGTTAATACAACTCTGCATGTTGATAAAGCTGGTAAAATGAATCCTGTGTGAGTCATGTCAGAATAAAGAAGAGATCAGAAGATGTCTGGAAACTTAGTTTAATGAATCCTCAACTTTAAAAGATAAGGAACTCAACGTTTCAAACTCCTTTCACGTCAAAACGAAATACTTTAGAATGTTTAGGATTCTCAGTCAGATTCAAAGCATAAAAATTAAAGTTTCCCATCTGTGAGATTTCTCAGACTTATATAAAATTCACTAAAATAGAGGGAATTCTTTATCACACCATCTATTAAAACTAAACAACCCAACGAATGTGATGGAGGCAATGTGGCACGGCTGACGCCAACCATGCACGTGTTTTCTGGAAATGCATTTAAATTAAACCTTTCTGGTCTTCTATCCACCTCACGCTGTGCAAAGTTCTGTTGTATTCTGTCATTTACTTTTACCACCATGTATCTGGGCCTTATGTCTAAAGTGAAAATAAGATGATCAATATTTGGTTAAGATATTACTGTCAGCTGGGAGGAAAGCAATTATCCAAACCCAGCGGATGGACATTGATGGAAATATTCACTATGGAAAGAATGACTTTGATTTTAAGATTGAAAAAAGCTCAATTTAAAGAAAAAAGGGAAAAATGGATAACATATAAATTAGCCTTGGAAACTGTCTGACTTTAGTATCATGACAACTGGCTGTTTGAGGTTCGAGGGTTCATTTTGTTTTGGTTTCGTTCCTTGCTGCTGCTCAGGAGGCTGACATCAGTGCAGTGTTTCTTTTATTGTCAAAAACAATAAAGATAAAAGTGAAAAACAAAGTTTAGCATCGGTGCATGGCAGATATATGTACAGCGGCCATGTTTCCAATGTCATTTAAGGATGTGCAAAAATAGATCATTACATTAAAAAATCAGGATGGATTCTATAAAGAAGTAAAGTAATAGTGAAACACGTCTGTCTGAGTGCAGGGAATGACTTTTTGGCTCACGCTAAATCTCAACTATAAATTACAATTGTTTTTAATGACGACGTTTCTAAAACAAAAGAGCAGGAAAGAAACAAAATGACAATCATGGCTGGAACATTTCTAACTGTCTTCAATGAGCCGTTGTTTTGTTTACCATATATAGAGCTTTATTCCACAGAGCAATCACTGTGTGACCAGACAGAAAGCTGACAGCAATGATTTGGTGTTTCCTCGGCCCTGGGGAATCACCGCAAAGGCTGCTGTCAATGGATCAGAGTTCTGTACAATGTGGGTCTCACTGTAGTAATAAAGCATCTCAAGCTCTTTAAAGGACTAGATCACATCAATCTATGGTAGAACCAAAACATAATGAAATTAATTTACGAGTGTTTTCGCCATGGCAACCATTAAAAAATGCAAGTAAACTGCAGAAAATACAAAGCCTATTTCTTTCACATTTGCAGCATCATAAACCATCAGGGAATTCTACCAATGAGCTTCCACAAGAGCAGGGACTGTTTGCTGAACTTTGCATGTGTTGTTCAGTGACCCACATCTGATAATGTTTCTGCTCTGGCACAGTTTCACAGTTCGCTGCAACACAAAACAAGATCCTGCCTAACTGACAGTAAGCTCATGGTTAGACAGGTTGGAAAAAGCTCTGATAGTGCAGCTGCCAGAGAGAAGATCAGCAGCTTCACTTGGCTTACAGGTACATCTGATCAAATTAGCCCAAAGGCAATTTAAGATCATGTTAGATGGAATTACACATTCAAATCATTGTTCCACACATTTTCCTTCCACTAAACTTTCCATGAATATCTTTAAAGGGAGCAATCTGAACGTAGAGCATCTTTGAACCTCTATAACATACCGTCCAGGTAGGAGGAGATCATCGGCTGCAGTCAGCTATAGTCACTATTATTCTGTGTGCCGTTATGTAAGACGTGCAGTTTTCTCAGTCTAAGTAGAAACAAACATTTAATATATATCTGTGAAAATAATTTCTATGGTTTGTAAATTAGGATTAGAAGGATTTTCATACATTTATTGCCAAAGAAGAAGGCAACAAAATGAAGAACAGTAAACTGACTATTTGCAGAGCATTCAACAGCTGCATTGTGACATCATCACCTGACGTTAGGAAACTTAATGCGACTCAAATGCAGAAAGAGAAATGGGGCGGGCAAGACTGCACTAAAAGCAGGACGTGTTCTTTAATCTTTACTCATATTTCACAGACATCTTGTCTCCTGAAATGAGCCTCGCTGGTTGAACCAAAAGGATAAGCAGCTTTTCTCCATGTTTCTGCCAAACTGGACATATGTGTTAGAAATATCCCAAAGTATTCCATCTGTGACAGAAGTTGCTTTTATTTAGATTTATAACGCAGTAAGTGTAAATCCATCCCGTTTCTGTCCCTTCACCCCCGTTAGAGCGTTTTCTACCTCCCTTTCTGTGCATAAAAGGGAAACTTCATTCATAGTTAAGATCAGTATTGCATCTGTTTGTAGCAGTCAGGGATTCATCTGTTGAATCTGAAACGTGTGATTTTCTCCCGATCTTATGATCCCTGATCGGGAGGTGTTTGTGAGAGGCCCTTGTTACCCCCCCCTGTATACTACACTGGGCAGGACGCACGATGAGGCTGAAACTCGGCCTAATCCCAAAAATTCTCCAACAACTGGAGAATCGGCCCAAAAAGAGAAAAAAATTGCACAGTGTATGCCCGCCTTTAGGTGATCGACGGCTACCCTTACCCTAATCTGGAATACTTCCTTAAAACCAAACTGTAATGTGTAATATAAAATCCTCAGAAATATCACACAATTCAATTTAAATCTGTTCTGGATTAAAGACAGGTTTAGCTATGTTTACAGGACGATCTTTTATTTCCTGGTGGATCATCTAAGCAAGTGGTCCTCATAACTGTCAATCATTCTGGTGATATGTTTACGTAAGGCCGTCCTATGTGCTCGTCTTGTTAGCTATCTCTATCTGGTCATGCGCTCTTTCAGGCGTATATCTGTGGTGAGCTACGCTTTCAGACAGTCAATGAAGCTCATCTTTCTACCAGCGGTTCTTTGAAAGTTGCCGAGGGCCGTAAGAGAAAAAGTGTTGACAAAGTGTATGAGAAGAAAAGAAAGGCCTCAGAAGAAGCAGATATATCCCAGAATGCTTTGCGCAGAGAGCTCCCTTCACAAA